AATGATGCAAGTTGGCAAAAGCTAGTCGAGCCTTCTGTATCCGTGCTGAGATTTTATCACACACCAGACCACAAGGGCTAATGAGACTTCCAAGATAAGTGAAGCGGTGGGCACGCTCAACTACTTCAGTCCCTATCATTAGTTTGGATGTCGATGCCACCCAATCCTGAAGCAACATTTTGCATTTCGAGGGAGAGAATCGCATCCGGAACATGCTTACATTGTTGTTTAGGGTGGTCAGAAGACTCTTCATTTTGTCAGTGTCTTCACCAAATAAAACTATGTCATCTGCATATTCTAGGTCAAGAAGTGAATCTCCCGGTAGAAGTTCAATTCCTGGAAATTTAGATGAGGAAAGTGTCATCTCTAAAAGTACGTCGACCACAAAGTTGAACAAGAATGGGGAGAGTGGACAACCCTGACGAACACTATTTGAAGTAATCAATTCTGATGACAGTTCGCCATGAGCTCTCACTCTACCAGTTGTGTTCAAGTAAATAGCCTGTATAAGGTTAATGTACTTCTTTGGTACTCCTTTCAGTGACAAACACTGCCATAGAAGCTTACGATCAACAGAGTCGAATGCCGCATTAATGTCGAGAAATACTACCATTGTGGGGCGTGTGAATGTGTGTCTATGTTCTAGAACTTGACGTAGTGTGAATATCTGGTCTATGCAACCACTTCGAGGTCGAAAACCAGCCTAGTTTTCTCTAGTCTGCTCTTGACGAGCTTTAGTTAGGCGTCGAAGTATTATTGAAGCTAATAGTTTAGACACTATATTAGTCAAACTGATTCCTCTGTGATTGTCACAAGAGGACTTTTGTCCTTTCTTACAGACTGGCACAATCAGTGATTGAGACCAGTCAGATGGGATTACGTCCAGTTCCCAAATTCTACCTAAGATCTCAGTTAATCTCACTGATAGTACTGGACCGTCATCCTTAAAAATCTCAGGAGTAAACCTGTCAGGGCCTGCTGCTCTCCCACGCTTCAGATTTCCTATAGGTTTTTCAACTTCGTAAAGAGTTGGCGGACTTAGACTAACTTGCCATTCAGGTTGACTGGAGATCGTGGGAAACCGAAGTGTGGCTGAAGGCCAATTGAACTGATCCCTAAAGTGTTCTGCCCATCGATCCAATCTCCTGCATTGAGAATGTATAATATGTCCATCTTTCTCTGAGATTGTTTCGCTAACAGTTGGGTTCCTAATACTGGTTTCCTTGACAAGATGTTTTTGCTAATGCTTAAAGTTAGTATTTGCAAGAAAGAGGAGGTTATATAAGCATAGCTGCAACAGACTGTAGCCATTATCTGTTTTTTGAGCCACGACGCTATAAGATCCACTCAGGTGTCCTTCCCTTTCGCTTGATTTACCTACTTGAGAATTAAAGTCACCAGCCACTATTACTACATCAGAGCGCCTAGCTTTTCGTAGAAGGTCGGAAAGCTTTGTGTAAAACTCATCTTTTACATTATCTGAGCTACAGTCAGTGGGAGAGTAGTGAGAGACAATGAAGAGGTAACGACGAGTGTCTCTATCTTTTCGAGTTCTTTGTGTTCCGTTTAGTCGGACAGCGCACAAACGACTGTCTACTGGGATCCAGTCTAAGAGAGCTAGTTCTGCCCTAGGACTCAACGCTAAACCTACGCCGGTGAGGCCACGGGGAGCAGCATCAGGGCTTCCAGATACACGAAGCGTGAATCGAGTTGGTTCGTTATTTTGACATGGTGAGGTCAAATGAATGACGCTACTCGGATCCTGTATGCGCGTTTCGGAGACGCAGCACACATCGATGGCTTGAGATTCTAAAGTTCTAGCTAAGGAAGCATGTTGTCCTATTTGGCACAGTGTTCGGACGTTAAAAGCTCCTACTTGTAGTTTAGAGCGTGATTTCAGTAGACCAGGAATAACATGAATGACCGGGATTAAAATTTGTTAAACAATATTATATTCATGATTCAACAGAAAACAAAAAATAAATGCATTCTGACCATTGTAACCGTTATCAAACCATGTCACCTGCGTCACCCCCCTATAAATTATGGTTAGCATGTATACATTAGCCCAAAAGGGATGCTTTTTCATAAACACAGCAAAGATCAACCGTAAAGGACTCCATAAATTGTCGTCATGTCTTGACTAGACCTCATCGTACTCCCAAATTACCCAGCGTTGAATCTTGAAATAGATGGTGTCTAAATAAGTTTAATTCATCTCTTCAATGCTTCATAGCCACAAAGTAGTACAGAGCCACCTGACTCACAATGCACTCACCCTTTAATGGGCAGATGAATATCGTTTTGACAAAAAACGTAGATTTGCAAAATAACGAGAGAGCTTCTGTGCGATATGCTAGTGCTTTTTTCAACTTAGACCAATCAACACTAGGTTGCAATGGAGTAGCATCAATGGAAAGTGACTTCGCCAATGTGTAAAAGGTTATATCCTCATCGATTGAAGATCTATTATTAATAAGACTTTTTTCGCTTCAGTACAGAAAGTAAAATAGCTATAGATAATCAAAACTTAGGACGGACATTCGTAAACAGAGAATAAAAAAATACCTACTTTTGGCTTTAATTTCTGCTAGTTGTTATTGGCTACCATGCTTATTGTAGTTGCAATCAAATCAAATTAATGTTCATGTTATGAAAGTCATGTTGAAGTCATTTAAGATTAGCTTTAATGATTTAAAATATCGAGTAATTTGTCGTTAACTATAACGTATATTCAATTCATCAAACAGATGTGTTTTTTCCTATTTATTTACTCAATTATTCTTTTTTTGTCCTGGTTGTACATTTGGGCACATACATCATCATTCTGTTCGCTTATGCTGAAAGTAAATGTTACTGTTTCATTCTCTGTAGACTCGCAAACGATCTTCAGCTAACCGCGTTTCTGAACAATCAGATCTCATCGATGAAAATAATATCCCAAACAAAAAGACACTTGTTCAGGATAAAACATTGGAGGGTAAGAAAAAATCCGAAACATCATCAGAACTTGAAAAACCAGTAATAGATCCTCAACCCCAGCCAGAAACCTCTGGGACAAGTAGATCGATTCAGGAAGATCCTAATTTAAGTTCTGCTTATAAATCATTGTTTAATACATGCGAACAAGCTAAACGCCAGCAAAAATCCCACTGGGTTACTTTTAATCCTTTGTATTTCAGATAAACCTCTCTTTTCTCAACTAATTTTGTGGATTTCGTTATTTTTTAATGATGTATATAAAAATTTGTAATATGTTAATTTGTCTTATCTCATGGCTTTATTATAAATAAACAAACAAAATTTTTCGCAACAAATATTTTTTTAAACGAATGGGGGTTGACATATTTTTCCATGATTTCACCAGTTGTTCATATTTGACCGTTAAGTATTTTCTCAGGAGATCTAATTCATGGAAGTATCGGATAGGAATCTTTATTTCTTCGTGTAGCTTAAACTGGAGTTACATTTAAAAAGAAAGGTAAAGTGGAAGGGTGCTCGCTTATTTTCGCTGCGGATTATAACCCGTATAAACAAGGAATTAGTTCTATGAACTAAATCAATTAGTCCAAACTGGTCCGTTCCAACTAAAGGTTTGAATACATAGGTCATTTATCTCAAACCATCGATATTACAGTTTAGTGCACGAGCTGGAGTACATTAGAGTATTATTTGTACAACCAATGTTGATGGGGTTACTGACAATCTGTTTTGATGCATAAAAGTTAAACGGAATTTTAAAGGATTCTGCGTTTCGATCTGCGGAAATATGTTCTCAAGCTGCGGAATTCTATCCTATACATTACTTCCTCTAGGGGGGTAAGTTTTATCTTAAGAAGCACTGGTACACTTCAACGTTACTCATAAAATGTTAAAAAGGTTGATGAGACAGAAAGTCGTCTTAATTATTCAGAACTGGGATAAAGGGAACTTAATGTGTTACAGCGAAACATAATTATGGTGCTCTAATTTACAGAAATTGGCATTTGCTATATAAATCTTGACCACCCCTATAGGAGCTTGCACAACTACACAGCTGTATGAACTTACCGAATAAATAGTCGTTTACAGTAAATGCAATACTTTCCCCCGAATGCCCTGGTAGGGTCGAAGGTAGAGAGAGTCAGCTCTCCCTTCGAAATGCTCTCACGTGGCCACGCGTATACAGCCATTGCCAGGGAAGTCCTACTCACTGTCTTCTCGCAGAGGGGGGTCTTGTTTACGAAATTGGAAGGATGAGAAGCGAATGTCCGGTTCTTTAACCAGGTTGGTGGACACGGAGAGTCCACCTAGGGGAGTTGGAAAACCCTGGTTCCAAACCAATGGTGCACATGTGCTCCAGTATCCTGAAGGAACAAATGGTGTATAAACCAATCGTTGGTCACCGGCTACCATAGGACTACATCTGACGTTGCTCCACTGCCTTGTGGGTCAGACCTCTAAGTCAAAGGCTTTGGGTGTGACCCCTTAAGAAAACCATCTGTTTCGGTCTGGGCAGTCGGGCAGTATCTCAGCCCTCACTCAAATCAAATGACCTGTGTGGCGCTTATATAGTCGGTGCCCCTTTGTACCAATATTTGTATGTTCAAAAGAATAAATATAAATAAATGCAATACTTACGCACATCAGTCTTTATACGTTTGTGCTATATGTGAACTAAATTCCACCACATGATAATACTACTTTGTTTACAGAAAGTTACAATCTTCATAATTACTGAAATACATTTCCTTTCATGTTGTCTATCGATCGTTGTTTAAATAAATCTAATTAGTTATATCAAAAATGAGTAGACCTGCTATTTTTTATAGTTAACCGAGACCTCATTAGAAAGTTACTACATTAGTAATGAGATTTATCATACAAAACGCCAACGCAAAGTCCTTTACATAGGCACCATTAGGGCATTAATTAAACCCCTTTAAAAACATAACAGTACAGTTAAACTCTAAATTTTTCACATACTATGTAATTTGCTTGAATCCAAGACGTTCGAAGTTAATAAAAATAAGTCCAAATTCATATATTGATAACTATAAACATTCACTACTTCGTAAGAATAACACTTGAATAATAACGCAACTATGTTCATGAATATAGATGAAATATTCAATATTATCCACTCATCATAAAAAAAACATCTCTCGAACACTTCATATCTCTTTACTTAGGTAGAAAGTTTAGAAAGAAATGAGTTAGTAAACTTCATCTAGACAAATTTTAAGAAAGGTTTATTTCACTGAATCTGGAAATATGCAAAATAAAACAAAAACAAACTCCAACTAAATAGAAGCTAAATTATCCATATACAATATACTGTAATTGTTAAATACATATATTTTCAATGATCAATAATGAACCGTTTGCTTGATTAGAAACATTAATTCATACAGCATATATGTAATAAATTGATCTAATTTCATCATAATTTTTGTACATATACCTATCTAATTACAAATTAACTATGTTTTTTTATTCTGTAATAGATTATCATTAGTTGATATAATATCTGTCTTTCTTTTAATTGTTTCTTTTAAAATAGTTGATTTATACTTCTTATAGGTTTTCCAATGATGTTCAGAAGTAATTTCATCTTGGAATAGTGAAGATTTTAAATGAATTTTTTTTTCACAAATTTTTCGTAACATCTCAATACCTAAGAAAAAGTGTAAATAATGTAAAAGGTTATTGTAATTGATGATTTTATGAAAATTATGTATTCAACCCCCAAATGCCCTGGTACGGCTGAGAGTGGGGAGAGTCCGCTCTCCCCCTCAAAATGCTCTCACATGGCCACGCGTATATAGCCTATGCCAGGGAAGTCCTACTTACTGCATTCTCGTGGCGGGGGTGTCGTTTACGAACCAATGGTGCACATGGGCTCCAGTATCCTGAGGGAACAAATGGCGCATGAACCAACTGTTGGTCACCGGCTATCATGGGACTGCATCTTCTTACGATGCTCCACTGCCTTGTGAATCAGACCTTCAGGTCAAAGGTTAGGGTAGTGGTCCCCTAAGAAAACCACCTGCTTCAGTTTGGGAACCCGAGCCGTATCACAGCCTTCACATATATCGAGTGAGATTTGTGTGGCGCATATGTATTTGGTGCCTCATTGTACCAATATCTATGTGTTAAAACAAATAAATAAATTATGTATTCAAATTGAAGTCTATAAATATATGATGAGGTTAATACTATTGTTATAAAAGATTTATTCGAGTAAGAGAGCAGATGCTGAGGTAGTAGTTAGTTATAGATATATACAGAATAGGGAACGTACTGATTCTTCCCGGGCGATTTGAACTAAGGTCACGTAGTGCCATTATTAAATACATAATTGCGATATTCGATCCATGGTTGACCATTTGTAATGAGTATAAGCATCATTATGTGCAAAACTCTCGAAGGAAGAATGCAAATTTATGGTCAGAAAGATGTGGTCACAAACATATTATTGTAACCAATAGTTAGAGATTTTGGGTGACATGATTCAGAATCGTCTGCAATGATGTAAGTGCATTCACTCCTTGTTTTCCCGAAAACTGTTTATACTTCTTAATTTTCCACAACTTAACTTTCTTTTAAAACTACTGACATTTCTACTACTTTGGGGTTTGTCTTCAGGTAATTTTATCACTCTGTGTTAATGGGGAATAGTAATCTGAACCGACACACATATTCGTTAGTTTCTACGTTTCTTATGAAGATGACACACATAGTTTTAAAGAGAACGAAGTTGCATCCTTGTTTATAAACAGTGTGTGACTAGTCTTATGAAGGACTCGAGTTCATCATGGAGAAATATTTGGGAGTAGACCTGATCATCTTGATTGAGAACCCAAACGTCAGTGTCCAGGATCGACAACACTGAGTGTGAATGTATCACAAAGTGGCATGGGTTGGGAAAAAGAAACGAGAATGGGGAAAGTTGGGTAGATCCGTGTTGATGAAAATGCAATACTTCATAAACCGATATGTCATAAACTTTATTATGTTATTGTGGCTTATAAAACGCGACACAAAATTTAACAAAATCAACCAACCTTTTTCTTTATCTTGATTATATTTTTGTAAATAAGCTATGCATAATAAATTTGTATATCTGGGTGATTCGAAAAATGATAAATATTTAATGGATAAACCAGAAGTTTTTGGTGGAAATACACAATGAAAACCACCAGCTCTATGGAATTCATCAACCATAGAAATTAATATACGTACATCGAATGGTGTTAGACAGTCTAAAATTTCATTGGTTGCATTTTTAAGTATTACATGAGATGGTGTATTCGATGTGATAAAAAGATTTGAACTATTGAAATTCTTATAATTAGTCGGTGATTTATATGAATTTTTAGAAAGATTTGAAGTTCCTGTCAAAAAGACAATACGGTCAATTTATGGTTATGATTTGTAACAGTTCATAATAAAAATGAAATACTTAAGTTTTTGATTGAGATCATGAATCGATTGATGTTAGACCACCGTTGGAAACCTGGAAGCACTGGACGGCCGTTTCATCCTATTATGAGACTCCTCAACAGAGCGCACCCACGATCCCGCTCGCGAGATTCGAGCCCAGGGCCCTCAGTCTCGCGCGCGAACGCTTAACCTACTGGACCATTGAGCCGGCATCCAATGGTGTTAGTGTGTAAAATCAACCAATCCAATACTCAACGTTTTAGTCAAATGGATGGATGATATTTTAACATGGAAAATATACCAATTTTGTATATTGTATAGAAATATATGAGGTTGGTTTTTTTAATAATAATAATTATTATTATTATCATCGAGTTTTGCTTTATCACACTTTGGTGTCATAATATAAAAACAGCAGAATACAATGTAATTTAAATTCACTTGGTGTTGTTTTACTTGTATCTTCTCAGTAGCTATGTGGATAACGCGATGGCGTTTGAAGCAAACGGTTCTGGGTTTGAGTCGCAGAGTGAACACCAAACAAAGTTTCACAGCATCTGAATGTTTATTGACAACAATGTTTGAGAACTTATGGTAGTTCAAAGAGGATTTCAACTGTCAAAACCAAAAACGAATTCTAAAAGATGATACGTATTATTATTAAATAGAATCGCAGATTACTAGGTTTTGTATTGAGTTTTTTGTTGATAACTCAATCCAAAGCATAAAAAACTGTACTAGTTCGAAAGGTTATTCTTAATATGGCACATATCCTGATAGGTATTGAAAACGTATTCGTTTAGTGTGTTATAAGACTTGTGGGATAAAGTGCTCCATAATATAAGCACCCATACGACAAACAAGTATTCAGAACAACTTTTTACGGTTGATAAACCTTACTACTTCTTTATTTCTATACAAATTTACTAGTAAATAAGTTTACATATTGGAACTAAATGAGTTCACATAATCTGGTTATATAACATACCGGATACTGAAACTTCTGAATTTAAATTTCCATTTGAAGCCGAATGAAGTTTAGTCTTAGATCGGATCATCTCATGAGGATGATTTACTTTGAAATCAGGCGAATCAGACTCTAATCTCATAAACTGAGCTGATTTTCTTGATTCTACTGACGACAATGAAGATGAGGAAGAAGATGACAGTGATAGCCGTCTGTTATTACCTGCATCATAAATCGACGTACGAGGTGATAAGATTCCTTCTTTCTCATCTGTATTACTTGATGTTATACATGAATGTAAAGAACTATTTGTATCCGAAGAATGTAATATTGAAGATTTACATGAAACTAATGTTTTACAATCATTTCTTTCATATTGATATGGTGATGCAGATGAATTATACTTTACTGTAAACTGTTTTACTCTTGGCAAACCATATTGTATAGCACGTATTTTAAAATATTTCATTTTCTCTTCTTCATCTGTACTAGCAGATTCAATAAATAAACGTTCATCAAGTAGCCATCTATGATTAGGTGGATTAGGACGTCGAAGGTCAGATTTAGTATTTTTTGTTTTTAAATTATCTACAAAACTAGCACTTTTTATATGTCGACAGGAAATATCATTATTTTTTAAAATAGGATTTTCAATTTCCATATTTGAACCATTATGTTCAACATCATGTGTATTTACATTTGAGCACATTATTAGATCAGGTGTATTTGTTTCATATTTAAGTGCAAAAGATGAAGGAATTGTATGACAGCGTGGTTCCATTGCCTCTGGAAGACGAAGACCAGATAAATTTAACATATCTTTAATAACACTACCTTTGATTTTAGCATCTAATGGTGAATCTGAATGCATACTTTATGAAAACGAATAAAAAAGAAATAGTAGTTTTATTAAGTGGCATTTATATGGAAACATTCATATGTACATATATGAAATATTTTAGTTATTAGGAAACATTCGTACTGGAAATCACAGCTCTCAGGTTCATCGGTAATCATCGACATTAGTAGATCTGTAGCTTACCGGTTTAGGGATATCTGATTACTAATAATCGTACTCCAAGTTTGAATATTGCTCCATTTCAGTTTAGACGAACAAAAGGTGTGACGTAAATATTGTTCAGGTCTATCCTAACCATCATATTGCTTCGATTACCCCGACTCTTTGAATTTCGCCCGTTGAGTACTCTAAAGACTAACTGAAACCTTATCAGGCTAGATTAAACATACCAACTGTTAGCATGAATACAACTAGTATTGCACAAAATTAAGGTAAAAAGCCGTTTGATGAAAACCAGTAGGACATTTAGAGCATCGAGTAGAGGATTTTGTATTATTGAGTACTTTGGCCTGATGAATAAACTAACGAATTCAATCAAAGCTCAGTACGAGAATACAGTTACTCAAGTAACTAGTCAGTAACTTATTATTATTATTATTATTATTATTATTATTATTATTATTAACGTTGGATTCCACCAGTCATATGACGATGTGTAGGCAAGAGTCAGTCTCACAATATTACAAATTTTCATTTCAATAATTGAGGCAATAAATCATTTCATATTTCAATGATTTAATTAACGTAGACTTCCTCTACAATAATAACAATAATCTGAAATATATTTCAAGAGAGCATGGTCAACTAGAACTAAGTGATCATTAAAATATTTAAACAAGTTTATGGCACAGGAAAAAATAAACCGGTTTACCGATAGCATAAAAACATTTAATAATTATTATGACAAAGAATTAAACAATTAAGTGATCATAGTGTTCACCTTGGGGAAACATTCACTTCAAGTAGCCATGGTTGTAAATCTTCATCTAAAAAAATATCGAAACCAAATATTTCATGTACAGAGAATGAATGGTTACAATAAATGTTTACAGCAGTATTGAATGCAGCTTCTGTACTGATTATAGTTTTTACAACAACATCTTTAATATTTGACCAAATAGGTGCAGGTGATATACCTTTTGCTTTTAAATATGTCCAGAATGCTCGTAAACTCCTGAAATCAATGATGAATTTACGTACAATAAAATTGACTTAAATAAAGACGTAATACAGAAGGATGTAAGTTATTAATCTACACAAAATGTAATTGATTTATTTATGAGAATTATTCACAACATTTTCTGCTGTTAGCTAAAGATAACAATTCCTCTGTATTTATGAATTAATGTATCTGCTTGTTTTGTAATATGATATGGTAACTGGAAATTGAAGAATTCAAAATGTATAGATACTATTTGATTGAGATCATGAACCGATTGATGTTAGAGGTTAAGCTTTCGTGTGCAAGACCGAAGGCCACGAGTTCGAATCTCGCAAGCGGGATCGTCGATACGCACTGCTGGAGAGTACTACAATAGGATGAAACGGCCGTCCAGTGCTTTCAAGTTTTCAATGGTGGTCTAACATCAATTGGTTCATGATCTCAATCAAAAACCTAATAATTTCCACAACCCCATACTGATGTATAGAAATTATTGGATCAACAAAATATATCTATTAATTAAGTTTTATTAGTGTACGGGCATTTATAGAAATTACAGGATTTTTATGGTTTAAACCATGAAGAGATCTTAGCAAGAACAGCATTAAAAAGCTGAAAGCTCTGAACGACCACTTAGTTCTGGTATGAGACGCCTGAGCAGGATACTCGGTCGTGGATACCTACTTCTGAAGAATTCCATACTGGGACGAAACAGCAGAAAAGTACTTCCACTTCTCACAGGGGTATTAGCTAATGACAATTAGTGCTTTAAACTAGGTGAATTAGATTTTCCTGTATTCAGCTTGTTTTTATTTTATCTAAAGCATCTGCCGACAGTTGAGATTTAGTACTTTATTTTCGTAAGCCATATATCACTTATCTGTATAAAGAAAAATATCAGCATTTTTAAAGGTAAATCTCGTTTATTCACTGTAGTTTTCAGTTCTGACTGCAATGAAAATTCAAGGCAAAACTAGCTTTTGTTTGTGGTTATGTTTACAGTTATTTAAGCATATGTGTCAAATATTGTTATCAGTTGATTATAATCCAGAACATACTTATTTTGAAACAATATACAGCTTATATTTCCTGATGATCTTAGTGTTAACACGTTGAGTTGTTTTCTCATAACGTTGTCAAAACAGTAGAACAATAGTTAGTTTGGGGAGCAACTTAGCGTTTAAAGTATTTGTCTTTAAGCTACTGAATCTAAGGTACAAACTCTGCTGCACCTAATTTAGCTTAAACAAATTTTACATAATTTACATTCGAGTTAAACACGAGCTCACAAGAATGAGAAGGAGTAGGATAGAATATTGTTTATCACAGACTGGCTAATTACAGATGATCCTATTCGTATTTAGTAAGCGTATTTGTTAGAATCTATTAAAAGATTTAATGTGATCCAACAAGATCGATGAAGAATGCTTCACATTGTAGCGTCAGGTAGTTTACGTACCAAAAATAAATTAACTCCTTGACCCAATGTGATCAAGTAGTTCATAGAAGTTTAACAGTGTAATGTACCAATATTTACCAAATATTTCATTTTATAAAGTTTAAAAAAAACAATGAAAGTTTTTGGTCTAACAAACAAACTGTAAGTTTATTTAAATCAATAAACTTGTTGTCTGTATGTGTTAATTTAAACAAATTGTAAATGTTTATGATAACATCAGGAATACTCCTTACAGAAACTTAATTCAGGTGATCTACTGACTTCATTCCTGATTAAGCTGAGTTAATCATTAACACTCTAGGTTGATTTCAGTACCTAGTTATCTCAAATTCAATATTCATAGCAGAACGTACGAATACCATATTAACACATATATTAATTAGTATTAGGTGGAAAAAATCTTACCACTTATGACCTTTCGTAGCAAACTCATTTGTGTTACTAATATATTCTGAATTTAAACGATTAATGGAGTAATTTGTTAGGTGAATATATCGATTGCCCAAGGAGCGTATAGCATTAGAATACCTAATAATGAACAGAAAATTACGAGCATATATTTAACATAAATATGAATTATGACAGTATAATTCAAACCTGAGTTTTAACTTTTCGTGTTAAAGATCTACAGGATCAAATTGATTACAGTTCGTAATATCAAATTCATGATACTATGAAAAAAGAATATTTTTGTGATACCTCAATGAGTAGAAAAATTGTATTTCTGATGTATTATGACTTGCATTAAGTCATGAAACATCAGGAATACAATTGTTTACTCATTGAGATATCACAAAAATATATTTATTATTAACTTTCTACCCAATGTTCAGTTTATATGAGACTGAAGCCGTGACCAGTGGGGCTGATATGTGTCGGGTAGAAATAAGTATCAACCTCAGTGCAATGGAAGATGGTCGCGCGATTTCGTGGATTGGTTGAGGTTAGACGTTAACACCGTACAATGCCGGCTCTCGTGTGAGATTGAAGGCCCTAGGTTCGAATCCCGGGATCGCGGATGGACAATATTGAAGAGTCCCTCAATAGAACGAAATGGCCGTCCAGTGCTTTTAGGTCTTCAATGGTGGTCTAAAATCAATCGGTTCATGATCTCAATCAAAGACTTTGTAATCTCAACAACCCTATACTGATTATATGAAACTATCTAGCTCATCCTTGACATTGATACCGGCAAATCTATGATATTACCTTTGTCAACTGCAGCTGAAAAATATGATGTTATTACAAGACGATATCTTTTTAGAAAGTTCTAGGTTTTAAATAACTATTTGCTAAATTACAGTATAGCTTAACTAGAATTCCTATGAAAATAATAGTCGTGGTCAGTTTTACATATCCTTCTAACACCTTAACTTTGTTTGCTAATTAAAAATACTGACAATCATCAAATGTCTGGGATTATTTAACGAATATAATTTTCACAAATCACATCACCAAGAGATATCAGTTAAGCAACCAGTGAAAACCAGGAATTACTAGACGGGTGTTTTGCCTTAACATGGAACTCCTCAAATGCTCTCACCAACGACTTAGCCGGTGATGGAACAGAGAAACTTAAGTCTCCCTGAGGGAACTTAATCTCTGAATCAATGATTCATCATCCAGTGAACATATCTAACTTCAATCAATTGACAATACTGAATGACTATTATTTCAACTATAAAAATTCATTAATCTCCACAAATCCTCTGTACTACTAACAATAACCATGTGATCACTAGTGGCTGATTTCAAGATATAGTTCCTGGAGTTCTAATAAAAAGCGGTGATTAATAGATTTTAACTGCGTCAAATGTAAGCCCGTTAGTGAAACATGGTTTTGCAATATCGTGAATTGATTGGAGGGAAACATGTACACTATTGGGTAGCGATTCGGTGGTATCGAGACCAAGTGTTCACAAAGAAACCGAAGGCCCTGAGTTCAATTTCCTGTGTGGTCACGTGTGTGCACTGCTGAGTAATCCCATACTACAACAAATAAACTATCTAGTGCTTACTAGTTTCCAGTGGCCGTTCAATTAATGTCAGTTCACGATTTAAACTATGAAGATTCAACAATCTCCACAAACCACTTTACTAAGAATATGTTTTTCATTGAAATAGAATCTTAACCAACTTTATTCATTATATAAACTCACTTTTGAGAGGCGAATCTAACCAATCCATCTTCATGTATATACAACCTTAGGGGATTAATTGATGAGATATACACATAAATGCGTAGATCAAATTTACTATCATTTATCAGATATGGACGAGAAAGGTATCTACATGAGACAAAAAGAAATTTTGAACGATTTGAATTAGATTTTATTTACACTATTTCTGATCTATGCCAAAGCAAAGATTCTATAAATTAATTGTATAAATACTTATACACGGCTAAATTGATAGACAGCGATGACATCCGATCCAGTCACTGAGGTTCTTGGTATTTTTTCTTTGCAATGAAGTGTTAAATGTTTTAGTGTGTCCAAATCACTAAGAAATATACTTTTTTTATAAATAAAAACAGAATTCAAAGAGGTATGTGATTGTTGGACATACGTAATATACATTGTCACCACCTCAATAATTTACCAAACGATTTTGACCTAACTTCAGCATTATTCACATGGTGATCCCGACATATGAAAGCGATGCTTCGAAGACATACATACCAGTAGCTCATAAATATCCCTTGTTTCTTAAAGGTCAATTTTACAGCTAAAATGTAGAACGGGATGAAATACTGAAGAGTTGGTTAGCAGACGGACATCTCGCTTACACTATAAATGACTTAAGTTGGTAAAAACTAACTGAGATTTTTGAATCCGTGTTGTGATTTCATTAGAAACCAAATGACCAGAGATAATAAGATTTCTAAGATAGGTGAAGTGATAGATGTACTCAATTATATTATAATTAGTTTGGGCGTTGATACAGATCAGTCAGGTAAGTCCTTGGATATAGAGAAAGTGAAACACATTCTTAACATTCTTTCAATGTCACTTAAGGCAACCAGAGGAGCTTCCAACTCGTCAGTGACTTCATCAAACAGAACTATGTGTAATCTGTGCATTCTGGGTTAGTAAGAGAAACACCTAGTAGGAGATTAGTCTCAGAAAATTCAGACGATGAAACTACTATCTTAAAAAGATTGCATATGACAGAGTTAAACAGTAATGGGATAAACGAACAATTTTACCGAATGCCGCTTGATATCATGAATTTTGATGACAGTTCGCCATAAACTCTAACTCAATCTGTCGTGTCTCATTAAAAAGCCTTTAAAAGATGAAGGGGGCATCCACTTTGTCGATGTAGTGTCTTTCACAAATCGAACAGTTTATTTTGTAAATGATTGGATTTTTTTGTTATTTCAACCTTCGGTTTGATTGATTGAAGTGACTTTACTGGTTTGTCCGCTACGCCTATTCCAAACGGCTACAATAATTCCTGATATGACTTTTGTATATGGCAGGATGATCCATTTGTTGGTTACTATAACTGATTTCATTTTTTGCTAGTGAGTTGGTTGACATTTTTTGTAGGTGCGTGAGTAGCCGTTCTTCATAAAAAATATCAACCCAACTCATCAGCAGAAACGAAATCAAGTATGGAAACGAGCAAACGGATCTATTCACTATATATTTGGATTGTTTTCCCCGGTTGATAACACAATAAAGATAGTATCAAGGATAATCTACCTCTTTAGGCCATCCCAATGTGCATTTATCAATTTATTTACGCTTGTATAGAAGATTGTATTGACTTTACAAGTGCAAGTTAGTCAACAGCTCAATCCCTGAAAACATTATCAAGTCTAGTCATATACCACCAGAAGAATCATCGGTCAGGATTATCTATAGATCAGAGTTGCCTTGAAGAATATTTGGGTCGAAAATCATTTACACAGATAAACCTATAGTAAATCACCTATTTAATCTTGATCTTAGTGCACGATAGAGACATGTTTAATTCCTTATTTCACAGAGATCTTAGTACCTCATCTAATTTTACAATTTTTAATTGTCAGTCATTCTCTAATTCTTCTTCCTGTATACCTTTTACATTTCCTCTATCAATTATTTCATATTAACTTTATGACTATTAAGCAACTTATATTCAACATTAGGAAACTTTAATCATTTATCATTATTTCCCTAAAACCCCACTTCCTCTTTCTTTTGGTGGTCGACTAGATTATGAAGACCTCGACATCTGAGGGAACGCAAGCCCTTACACCCAGTAACCATTTATAATTAATGATAGTCAATAATTTCGTACTTTTATTCTGAAGGTTAAAGTATTATGGTTATGAAAAGCAAAAAAAATATCATCACATGAACTATTTAAAGCATCGTTGTATTACTGTAAGCGAATTAATTTATAGATTTTATAGTATAATCATGTTAACATTGCTATCATCAAGTAGATGTATTGTAATTAGTGTAAATAACAACAATTGAGAATAAGATAAATACCATTATGAACTTGATAAATATCATATGCAAATGTCCAATGATTGAACTAATCAACTTTTTAACGATTATGAAATGAAATGACATCAAATTCAATATTATTATTACTATTTTTAATACTCAAATTATACAAATGATCCCATAATTGTTAAAGATTCCTTTTATTAGGACTTCATCAACACTAAATATGGTCTTATCTGTTCAACTTTTGATAATTAATGGTTTAAGTAATTTAGATTATTGTCTTACAGAAGTTATTCGCGAATCATATTTATAACAGGTTTATGATATTGTTTTATTTGTTTCTGTATCCTATAAGACAAAGACATGATACTAAATGATCATTAAACATTGTCATGTTGTCTAGTTCTAGATTTCAAACAAATAATGTGACTGAAACCGAGTACATGTATCTGTATTTTGTAAATGAGTCATACGCTTCATACTTCATACTACTTGACATCTGTTAGAGAGGTATATCTGAATACTTCCATCTCGAGATTTAGGTGTATTTCATATAGTATCATGAAAAGAAATATTACTACTGAACTATTCATATTCAGGGAGCACTCATTCCTGCTTTTAGTCATCTAAAATTATTTGCTTGTTCAATAATTCATCTCAGTGACTCGCTAGACCAATAATGTATCACACTAAGCAGACTTCCCATGTTAGTCTTTCTAATTAAAATAAACTATAACAAAAGTATGCCGAAATCAGATTTTCAAGATTTTACATCTATTCTTTTTCTATAAATACTTAAGGTTAGAATCACTTACGGTTTTTGTACTGGATCCAGTTATACTAGTTATGAAAACTATCAAATCTGTAGCAAAATAACAAAGTGTTTGTATCAATACAGACTAATGATTACACCCTTTTACAACTTTTAGAGCATATGGTTAATCATTAATCGATATAATATCGATAATCTTTACATTTACATTTGTTACAAGAAAACGTGAAATTATGTACTTTTGTTTCTGAGGGTTATAAATGGTTTGTGTTTAACAATTAGATAAGCCACAGTACATTGAATCCTTCAAGAAGTAACATCATAAATATATATCAGTACTAGAAATCAGTAAACATTTATTGTCATCTACAAATCTCAGGGTAAGCAAAATACTTGAGCATAAAAACAACAATAACTAAAAACATACAAAACGGTTATTTGATTAAAGATTAGAAAAAGACCTAGAAATAAGCGACATTTAGTAAATGTATTATCATTAAATATTTGTAACAAAAACATCATACTTTTGAATAAGAGCTGGACGCTTCTTAGGTATTTGTGACCACTTTGTTACAAGTCGAACACCGATTCCGCGAGCTGAAGCTGGCTATAAATAATATAAAGTATTATTTAATTGAAAAGATTTTTATACAAAATCTAGAATGAAACATTCTTGATAATTTTATAAGTTCATTTTATCTAATCGATAATTATCACGGAACTAGAACAAAAGAGCACAATCATTAAAAAGTAATTTTGAGTATGTAAATGCCAGGTAAAGTTTTTAGTTATAGGGGTATTGGTATCGAAAAAAGTCATGTAAAGTTCAAAGTGCTTTTCAATGATTTTCAGTATCATACGTTTGGCTACAAGAACCGATAATAACTAAAATATACTGAACGATAAGCATTGATTACTCTTGTGTTTGGTTAGCGAGAATTCACCCTGACAAAAGTAAAGCAGTACTCTCCAGCTTTACGTTTTAGTCAAAATTATCTGAGATCACTTTGAACAATTATCTTGTTAAACACTAAAAATATACTTTGCATATGGTGTACACCGATTGTATACAGAGCTATAAACAAACGAGTGAAAATTTGCTAATTAGATTTAAGTAGCTAGTTTTTAAGGTCTTTATGTAGCTTATTCTGTGGTGTATGATACTCATGTTATCAGATATAAGTAGTATATAACATCAACCAGAAGTGGGATGCATGCAGCAGAAGATTGAGAAGATAGAATTGAAAGGAACAACAATGTAAACAAAGATTGATTGTAATAACAACAGAGTTGAAAAAATCACGAAGCATTTAAAGAACAACAAATGGAAAGGTATACTTTTACTACCGTTCCTATACAGTCAACTACTATCAGAGAAACAAAATCCGAAAAAAATTGGTGAGTACGTCACGATCCTACAATAATGCAACAGTAATATCTACTTATAAGACTCCATATGCTACGATAAGATTACTGTCTTTTTATAAGATTCAATTAGTAAGTCACTTTCATTTAAGTCAGTTTTTTTCACCTCATAAAATTTATAAAAAAGAGGAAAAAACAGTCTGACCCTAAACGAACCGGTTTCATAATCCATCGTTGATTTTCTCCTTCTTCATCCCATGCTTTTTTTAATTCATCTAAATCACCAGGTAAACAATAAGTTTGTGGCATAAAATTAAAATGTTCTTTTCCATGTTTCAATTGCATCTGAACTATGTTCCGCCATAAACGATCTTTACGACCAAGTTGAAATGAACACGGCAAATGATTCACCTGTAACAATTAAACAACAAAAGCAAATGGGGATGATAACTTTTAGACTGTATTCAATCCAAATGCCTCATAGAATTTAAGATATAGTCATATCTCTTTACAATAATACAATAATATCCAGAAACAGTTTGAGAAGACTATTCAATACTTCTAATTTTTCATTGTCGTTTGTTTTTCTAAAAAAATATTTGACCTTCTACGACTCTTAGTACTATTATTTTAAATTTTTTGTTAGTTTTATCTTGTCAGTTGACTTTCTGTGATGTTGAAAGTGTAGGGACTTGGGTTGATACACTTATATCTATGCCAGATTCTTTAGTTGACTTAGGTACTTGCTTTTATTCTTGACTTATACATGAAATATCTTTTGACTGTTATTTTGATTATGCAATAGAGTTTTTATGACATACATAGGAAGAGTTTAAAAAACAGTTTTGTGAGTGGTTCCTTAGTCAATTAGGTGATATTGGAACAGGCAACATGTATTTGTATTCTCTGGATTTTATTATTAAAGCTGCTTTATATGAATACTATCTTGATTTCCTATCTGTCAGCAATATGGTGTGTCAAAGTGTGAAGCATAAAATCTTGATCAAAATCAAGATATTTCATTCAGGAAGACTTATCTGTCAAAAATCTATGTTCTTAACAACTGATTAAGATATAATTGATTTTAGTCCAAATTTAAGTGACAAGTGCAAATTTTCAAATAATGACATCCACTAATAATCCTGAAACACTTATTATGATGGTGTGTAATGGAATAGTCTCCATAAGATGATTAAGAGTTAGCTACATGATAAATGAACGCATGGTATAAAGGTCATCAAATGAAAGAAGACTTAATTGTCAGTTGCATTCATGTTATAATTCATTAAATTATAGGTAAAGTGGAGGAAAAAAGCACTTCTATGATTGATTATTTTGCTTTAAATTAAATAAACTATCTGGTCTAATCAAATAAGAAAACTTAATTCATAGGAATAAAAATAGAAAAGTCCGATTTCAGTATGGATGCAGTGTTTGAACCAACAAATCAAACAATTTACTATATAGGTATATCAAATAACCGCATTTATTTATTAAACTTCTGTTTATTGTAACTAAATGAACAGGTTGTCCGGACGGCTTCCGAGAACTAGGATGGGAGCCTCTAGACGCTCCAGAGTAGCCGAAAAGTTCCGGGATATCAACGTGGCATGCTACTATTGGCCAGTAGCATAACATGCTTCTTGGCGGATTGGTTGAATTGTAATGTTGATTTAAGGAACGCTAATATCTGTAAATACCCATGATTTTCTGTACATTTTGATTTTGGCCCAACAAGCATTTTCTCCAATCTTCTTATTTGCAACTTAGATGGTTCTAGGGTTCAAGTGCTCAAGTTATATGCGGTATATTAAGAATCTAAGGGCTAGATATAACACAAGTTACATAAAAACTCGTGATAAATTTATAAATAGAAATATATTTCAAAGAATGATCATTAAAATTCCAAGCATCAGAAAAATGTAATTTCTACCTTTTGATACATTTTAATTGTACGAAATATTTGCGGACGCATATGTTTCCCGAAATAAAATAACCAATCAGATGATTCTAGAAAAAAATAGTTTAAAAAAGAAGAAAACAAATCTTACACATACACTAAGTAAACACCATAGTAACAATCAATCTATGCGTAAAATTAAAAAAAAAGCATATTATAAGATAAATTTATATACACATACATAATATTGACTACAATTGATCGGTTCAATTAACATATTGTCACCATCTCATTAGTGAATAATTAATAAATAAAATCAATTGTAGACAAGAGATAGAGAAAAAAAAACTTATACTAATCCTTATAGTTATTATAACAATTATGTACTTGAATAGTATAAGTTCTATACTATGATAACAAAGAGTGAATATTAAATATTATCTCTATATAGAAATATTAATTGAACTCAGATGACCATATACGTATATTTTTTCTCTTCTTCATCCTAGTTTTTTTGTTTCTATCTTAATAAAAAAAATGATGTCAATAAAATACTTAAGGTCATTATTTGAATAACAAAAGGGATACTGTTTAAAGAATATGCACTTGACCAGGTTTTTTGAAAGTAATAATAATAATGACAACAAGTTGATTATGCTACAGATGATAAAATTACAGAATTAAAACAAGAAAAAAATTGAAATAAATCTAAGCATTAGTAAATATATCAATATAGTCTGATATAAGAACGTTATGTATGAATTTACTTGGTCAATCATAGGTGAACATATATAAATACACTTCAGTCTAAAGAGATTCATTGAATATACTATTCTAAAAGTGGTTTAACATAATAGTAGTATAGTGAAGAAAGAAATCAAGTGAGCAAGACCATTTTTATTGCTTAATACAAAATTACAGTATGTCTTAACAAAATATGAAAACTATATATTAAATACTTTATTTGCACATTTTTCATCAATTATCTCATACAAATTTGATTGTTCCCTTATTCCCATTGTCAACTCGGAGAGACTCTAATTTATGGACGAGCCAATCAGAAGCGCTTGAGGGATTTCAAGATCACAGCGCCAACTTCAGTGCTTAATACTAACGTACGATCGGTTCACGGGTTTTTTTTATACAAAACGTGATAATTGAGCAGCTATAACAAATAAAACGGCGTGACTATAATTTGTAGACGAACCAATCAGTAAAAGATAATACATCTCAGATTTTGGTGCAAAATTCACTCACACATTTGGCTAAACAGAGTTTTGGCATTATAGCTGATGTCAGTTCGTGATGTAAACCCTATATATAACTCCTAACTAAGGCAAATTACGACAATTATCGCGAACCGGATAATAAAAGCACCAGTAACACGCTGCAGTCAGGTACTACAACATATACGGATGTTTGGAGAGCGCACAGACTCCTACATAGACTTTGTTATGTGCATAGTGTCGTCATCCACAAGTAGCATTTTGTGCAATCAACAACCGAAGTGCACATAAACAATATTGAAGCTAGGTGGTCGAGGCTGAAAGAGTTTTTGAGACTTTATCATGGCTCCAGAGACCGACTATTCTGTAGCCGTATGGATGATTTCCTCTACTGCATGCATTACGATTTTAGAACCTCTGAACCTCTTTCTAACCTTGACGAGTTTTTGAACCAAGTATAAGAAGTGTATCCACTTTATTTCCTTGGTTTTGTATAATATATTTTTACTCTATACTGGGTGTTTGCTAATTGGCTAATATTTCTCGAGGTCATTTAAGATTCGTTCAAGGTTCGTTCATAAATTAGAGTCTCGCTGTTAATTCAATTGCTTTTAGTTTTTTCTCTCTTCTCTTTATTTCAGTGTTCCAAATCTTCTGTACTCAGGCATTCTCTTCTGATTGGTGCAACATACTACTTATATCAGTCAATATAAGTAGCACACACCACAACAGTCATATGAATTGTATGTATTTAAAGGTCAAAGTAAGTTATTTTATCTTCTGCTAAAATTACTTTGTACTTTCAGACATATTGATAAGTTCAATTGTTACTTATTTTATAGTACTAATTCTAAAACTATCCGAAACTTTCATAGTAGTATTTGTGTTTTTAAATTTTTGAAGATTTAAATTGATGCATTGGTTAAAGAATCGCAATATGATTATTGGTAGATATTACATAATTCATTTCACATGGTAACAAATGCCATATACAACCCTGACAAACTAGTAAATATTTTTTATCTGTACATAACAAAGTACTATGATGAATACATTTCTAATCTTATCTTGTATATTATTCATTCAAAAGGGTGATTGTAAAGAGGAGTTTAGTATGAAAACTATACTGTTAATCAATCCGTTATTATTTTTAACAAATGACTAATTGAAACCATCGTTTTTGTAAATTACAGTTTTTGCTCTGGTTTAATATACTCAAATGTCGTTGTTTCAGATCATTTATAAAATAAACTGGCAAATTGTTGGCATTTATTGTGAAGAACATGACTCACACTAAAAAATACAGGAGGATTCAAATCTATTCTAATTTACGGTTTACCTTAAAGGCATGAACAAATGACTTTATATCTAGATGTAACGCTCAATGAGAGTAAACTTTCTAATATCAGAGCCCTTAAGCCGTATTAAATAATAGTCAGACATACCGATATTAATAATGGTGAAAACATGAAAAGAACAAGTACTACATTTATTAAATAAGGTCTATTTCGAAACGCTGATGGGTTAGGGATTAAGACAAATGGTTGGAGAAATAATAAATGGCTGAACTATTATCGTAAAGTATAGTAAGAAAATCTGTTATTCAGTGTAAAAATACCTTTGATTCTCAAAATTATTTGAATCAGAAATTAAAAAGAATTTCTTTTGAAAAAACAACAATTTTGAGCACTTCAGTATGTGCATTTTAAAAAACTGAGGAAAAATCAAAACAAAATTAACCCAGAAAAAGAAACAATAGTTTATTTTGATAGTTGGGATCACGAATCGATTGAAGCCAAACCACCATCGAAAATCTGGAATCACCGGATGGCCGTTTCGTCTTATTGTGGGAATCCTCAGCAGTGCGCATCCACGACCCCGCCTCGCAAGATTCGAACCCAGGACCTGTCAGTCTCGCTTGAGAACGCTTAACCGCTAGACCACTAAGCCGGCATCCGACAGTGTTAATGTCTAAATTCAACCAATCCACGGAGTTGCGCCACTGTCATCAGTGAGTTCTAATCTCATAGTAGACTCTGTTGAACTCCACTGGTCATTGCTTCTCACTAGAACTCCAGGAAATACCTCTTAAAGCCAAGCAATCTATTTTCGGCCTCTTTTCTTTATTTAGTATGTTGATGAAGATTCAATGAAATACTGAATTTTAACAAACCGTGTCAGGCGGCCTGCTTGAATATCTGGGCTACCTGTTCCTCCGATCTAGATATTTCATCAAGTTATCTGTTTTGTTGTTTGTTTTAGAACATCACTATGTCTATTGTGCGCACAACCTATTCAGGCGCGTTTATGAAAAGTTTACAACCTTTCGCTATACGTGATACAAAAAGGTACAATCAGCGACATCATGGTGGCTGGCAATATGCATTGAAACGAATGAACATTAATCAAATGTGGATTACCGAACTCCTAACATCTAACCGGTCATCATTCAAAATTTATCGTCAAAATAGATCAAGGTATGAGAAAAGGAAACTGGTTGAAATACTTTATGCTGAGAATTCCATGTTGTACCAAAAATATAATGTTGAATAAAGCTTCTAATAATAAATAATAATCATATAGTTTAATGGGAAAATAAATTTCAACATTCATTTTCAAGAAACCTGTCTAATTTCAAGTACAATGAATTAGCTATAAAAAGTATAAGGATTAAGTTTCGCTGTTATAAAAACAAACAATTAATAATAGTAATTCTCATGTTACCTACCAACTGTTTCCAAGTCTTCACATGCATTAGTTACTGAAAGTTCAATAAAATTTGTAAATTAAAGGGAGTATTTAGATGGAATTAAATAGTTCAAATCAATCAAAAAGCATGGTGTGGATGTGATTTAAATTTATTGTTCTATTTATATAAATGGTTCATGAATATTTATATAACTTGAGATATTAGTTTCTATCACATAAGTACATTAGTTGAATAATCAAAGTAAACCAGAAAGTATTAAAGCTCATAGATAACTTAAGATCCTAGTTTTGAGCTCATATAATTTTCTATTCTGTTCAGTAAATCAGTTACAATCTGTGACGAAGACAGTATTCAGAACTCTGTAGTTTTCATGGATGATTCATCTGATTTCAGTAAAAAGTAAAAACAGCTATTTTTAGGATTATTCTTCATTAATTTAACACGTTTTACTAATGTTAGGACCCGACAAACATAATGAATGGTAACTTGGGGATTCTTTTATGAACCAGTACTAAACATATATTTTTATCGTATAATTGTTAAATAACTAAACTATTCATATTCATGTTCCTTTTATTATAAGCTTTGTTTTGACCTATGAACCATTATTATACGTTTGACCATTCTTGAATTATGCCTTGTCTATTAGTCACTGCCTCCCATATTCACAGCCACATTTGGCCAAATTCTGTACAAATGTTATTTTCTTTTTTATGCTACGTTGTGGTTTGTTTGATTGGTATATAAACTCAGTATGTTTGAAATATAAGGATTCATATTGCAGAGGCTGAGACTGGTGTTCTGGATTTAACTGGCTGGGATAGGCGGAAAGCAGGATCAATCAGGACTCTAGGCTGCTTCCACTCAAGAACAACTGTATTTCCTCCATGAGTGTCTTCGCCAGCATGTTCTACCAACAAGTGTAAAAACTCTGGGCTGCTCGCACGTGTTTTGCGCGTCCTTGGTTCGATCGATAATTCGCTGCTTCTGATTGGCGGCTTTGGGCATAACAACTAGATAGATATCATGTATTTAATTTATTTACTATGTAAGGACTCTCAAGAGTCAAATGAAATACAAAGAAGATATCTATAAGGAGTTATTTTGAATTGGAATCGAATTCAAGGGGTAACGTATACAGCTATGTACAGAGAGTAAAAAGATAGATATAAACAGTTAGAAATTTATTAGAATACTATTCTATCATATTTTCATTAAGTGTTATTTTACTCTATACAATAACGTCAAAATGCATCTAAGACAAATACTAAATCAACCAAGGAAATTCTTGAATTAACAATAACAATAAATCAAATTGGATAACCAATCAGATTAAAGATCTAAAAAATGTTGAATTTAGGAAAACATTGGTTCCTCTAGACGATATTTTTTATCTGAATGACAGTCACCGTGCGCATTCCCTTTCGAAACTATAATCAGTCGAGCCTCTCACGTAAAGTCATAACATTAATAAGAAATGTTACGAAGTCACCATTCAAGTGGTAAATTATTAGGCGCGTAGATATAGTTGGGAAGTTCGTGCAGATTAGATGGAGAACTAGTTTATGTGTTAAATCACTCAGCTTGTAACCACTGGCCAAAAATAAAAATATAAAATTCTCAATTTACTGTACAGTATTCACCCGTCCATCAGTGAAGTCTAATAGTTCAGTACAATTTGATTATATCCTTTAGAAAATATCACCTAATTTTGCAAACAGATGAAATCTATCTAAAATCACAAGTATTATAAGAAAAGATGGATGGTGGCTAGTAGTAGAATCTAGGAAGTGTGTTTCGTCCTGCCTAGGACTCGTCAGTTGGATGTACCTGCATCCCAAACTTGATGTTCTTCCCGGGACTCGAACCCAGTACCGTTCGCTTCAAAGTCTATCGCGTTATCCACTTAACTGTAATCTATACTTTTAAAGAAAAACTCACAACATATTATTTATATAATAAAATAACATATGGGAAAACAACTAACATTTTGAAGCTTTAAACCCAGTACGTTGCAAAGTTTGCTTGACTACAATAGGGGTTAGAGAGCTAGCCCTCCACTTTAGTAGCCGACGAAATTCCCATGGCAATGGTTCCACTAGAAATTGGATTAAAATAAACAAGTTATTTGAATCAAATAAAGGTTAAACTCATCGATGCATCTTAGAAGAATAAGATATCCATGCAAACAGTATTATCTTCAGGCTTTACACTGATATATATTGGTAGATATATATGGTGATAGTAAAAGATCAATCAATGCAGTTTATAGGTCGGTGGTAACATTGATGAACAACACATGACTAATCATAGTAAATAAATAAGTAATAATATAGCGAAAAATGCCACAATATTGGTGATGAGGATAATCCAGACAGGATAGTTTAATAAACAAATATTTTAGCACTTAAAGTATTATATTTTTAGATCCCTGTACTTTTTGGACTCGCTTGATCTGGTAGATTGATAATAAGAAGTAGCTGATTGCGAAATCCAATAACAGTCTGATCAAATTCATGTCTGTTGGATCAATGATCTCTTTTTACCTATAACTCTATAATCATGAATAAAGTCCGGGGAATATCAATGTTCATCAGTCCATCAGCTCATTTTGACGGAAGACCGAGGAAGTAAACAAATTAATTCGTCTATCATTCTCTGTTTATCATGACTTAAAAGCTCTTAGGTTTGTGTATATTAAAGCATCACAAATGTGAAGTCAAAATGTCTAAATGACTAAGTTATATCTTACAAAAATTGAGTAGTCGGTTCATAATGATAAGTTAAGAGATAATTTAGAGACAATAGAACATATAACAGTATGAATCAAAATATAAGCTTACAATAAGAGAGATTTATAAATATCTGAGAACCCAAGTATTTAATGGGTATATAATAGAAATACGTATAATATTTCTTTGTAAAATAGCTACGAATGTTTTAATTTTCCAAAAATATTCGTTTATTGAAAGCGTGAAATTAGAAAATAGGCTTGTTAAAATGATAATGTTAGTAATAACTGTTTGGTTGTGAGCAATCTGCGACATTTCTCTAATATTTGAATCAAATATTTACACCATCAAGATCCCATTTACCATATCTGATAATTCAGCTGTGAAAATGCTACAATCTCCGCGAATCCCCATACTGACAATAATCATGAGTTCAACAGCGACTAGCTTCAGGATAGAATTCCTGCATTTCTAGTGAGAAACTGTCACCAGTGGAGCCAATCTGTGCCCGGTGTGAGACGCTTACCCAGCTCAGACAGTGAATGAATAGTTGCGCAAGATCATAGATCGATTGGAGTTAGACACTGACATTATAGCGTCCCGCTCAGTGGTTCAGAGGCTAGGGATTCGTGCACGGGACCGATGGTCCTGGGTTCGAGTTCCGCATGCGGGGTCATCAATTTGCACCGCTGAAGAGTTCTATACTAGGATAAACCGGCCGTCTAGTGCTTCCAGGTTTTCAATTGTGGTCTAGCTTCGATCGATCTGTGAATTCAACTGTGAAAAAATTATAAATAAAACAATTTTACATCTATACATCGATAAAGTCTTAGGTATTCCTTAATGCGAAGGCTTCAAAATACATCAGATTTCATAATACTTTGGGTGCTTTGTACTATATATGATTTCATACAAAGTATTTTAAAAAGAACTAGGCTAATAACACTCAAATGGCACGTAAGACTAAAGCGAAGAGACCTATTAACTCGACGCTGACTCACAATGTACACACCGGGAAAATGCATACAAAAGAGTTTAAGAAATTTATTTACTACTCCTTCGTATCCAATATGTCGTTGAGTAGTATTGATTTTTCATACAAATCGATCCAAAATTCACAACTCTAAATTAGTTCGTCATTTAGATTTATCTTCGACGTAATTATACATTGATTCATTTGTTTACAAAAACTCATTATCACTTTTGGACACAATCTGTGTAAAATGGTAGGTGAATGAAAGCTTCTATCTTTTATCGAATCCTGCATCTTATGAGATATTATATGAGATTTGAGATCATCGTGAGAAAAACCAAGTCTTAAGGTTCGTATTAATTAGCAATAGTTCTTATAAAACAACTACAATGGTAAGGGATTTGATCTTTCAATTTCGTCTTGCACCAGGAAGCTCAGTTAGAATATCATCCCAAAGATTTCGAACACACTTTGCTGAGGAATATTAACTAGCCCAAAATCTAAGTCCAAAGATTTCCAGTAGTCTTGTAGTGAACAGAACACGGGTTGGAACAATCGAATATACCTGACACAAAATTACAGGACTTGTTAATAAAATCTAACAATCAAATAGTAAATATGTAATTTGCAAAATGTCCATCAATTGTCTCATAATGACTCAGACTTCATTGTTCTTGAATTTTCATACAAATTGCATTCTGGTTCCATTCTTTACTGTTTGATCCTCTTGTCTCTCTGTTGCCAGACATTCTGTTCACGACTAACATCATCGACTACTTATGCCAATATAAGTAGCACACACCACGGTCTCTCTCAACTACATTACATAGAAATAGAGCATACAGCTGTGATCTCGTGTCACCCAGCTTCACAGTCAGAGCCGTTACCACTGAGCTATCCGAGCCGTGACTAACCTCCCGTAGGACTGAGATGTAATCACAATTGATTGATCACTGGGTGGTGATCAATCTCATGCTTGTCTAGTCCTTATTAGTGCAGATCGAATGCTATCGATCATGTTGCAATGTGGCCACCAGTCTAGGTGACTCGACACTGCGGGCACTATGTAATGAGATTAGATGGTGGTTGGAGGTAGTCAACAGGAAACTCTGGACCCGGGTTTCGTGCTACTTGGCACTCGTCAGCAAGGTGTACCTGTAATCTTGATCGATCGATAGCATTCGATCTGCACTAATAAGGACTAGACAAGCATGAGATTGATCACCACCCAGTGATCAATCAATTGTGATGAAAAGTTTATTAAAATTGCGGATTTATTTGTACTTATATTCTAACATAGTAATAAAAAATCTATAGAGGATAGAGTATATTTACAAAAAAGTAAAAAAAATTTTTTTAATAACCGACCATATTATCAAAACATACATTTTTGTCCTTCTTCAACAAATCGTAAAACTGGTGGAACATTTGGAAATAATGAATCAATCAAAGCTGGATGAGATTTTCTAGTAAACTGTGTCAATCGATTCACAAGCCCATTTTTAGATTTTATTTTTATTTCTTTTGAACTAATAATATTTTTTAATGATTCATTTGAAGTATTAACTAATTTCAATGAATGATTTTCATTAGAATGATTTAATTCTATAGATTCAAACTGTGAAAAAATAAACCAGAAATAATGATTATACAAAAAGAATTAATCTACCATTATTGAATTCTTCTTTTCTACTGAATTATTTCTATGTTCAATAGTTTTAGTAGAATAAGATATTGATAAATTTTCATTTTGTTTATTCATATTATTCTTTGGCATATTAAATTTGCTGGTAGATATGATATCTGTTAAATGAAATAAATTGATACATAATCATAAGTTGTTGTTGTTGTTGTGTTTCTCTTGGATACAACATTTGGAACAAAATTAACTATAGACATTAAAGAGAAAGAATGTAAATTCAACATTTCACTTGACAATTTAATCTATGGTTTTTTTTAAGGGAATATAATCATACATCTATAGGATGTTCATTTGTTGAAATTTTATAAATACATTCTCCCTTCCTAATGTCTTATAACAACTTGACGCCCAAATATTGTGAAACTATTCGATCAAATTTGGACAAACGTTCTTAACTACAGATTCACAAGTGTTATTTTGAAGTAAGTTTTTTAATGAGTAATTATTGATTATAATGAAAATTTGAAGTCTATCAGTCATTTATAACAATTTATATATTTTCATTGTTCACATTCAAACAATGTTAGGATTAAATTAAACCAAAATTATATTTTCATTTTGTCATATCTGTCTAAATAAATTTTTTTGTATTTACTAAATGAACCATGACAACCAATTAGAGACATAAATGGGTAGTTTTATTTAGTTACCACCTCTTTTTTTATGAATTCCTAAGTTATTTATTTGTTTATTTGAACATATAAATATTGGTACAAGAGGGAACCAGATATATATGCACCACACAAAACAATGAGAATTTGAAGAGAAAAAAAGAAAAGAAGAACATTAACGAACAGATTAGTGTAAGGTAGTGTAGTAATAATAATAGTAATAATGGGGGAAACAGAAAGGTACAATCAGAAGAACTCTTTCAGTTAAGGAAGAAACAACCATTTTCTTATCAAGAAAGTAAAAGAAGGTTACAGCAAAATCGTCACTGGCTTCTATTCTGAGCCATATCTGATAACGTCTTTAGCCACTGTGTTGCACCATGTCTCGGACCCCAACCAGAGAATCGTGAAGGACCGACACAGGCCAGCCCTTTGCAGTTTTCTTTCATACCACGACACCATGTCATACACTGACCGAACGAACTTTTTTCTTATTTATTGAATTATGTTAATTATTCAAGTATTTATCATCGATATATTCATTTTATCTTCAATATTTAATTGGATGGAAAACGGCGTAACGCAATGGGTTAATTTCATTGAATAAAAAGACAACAACTTGTTTTTGGATGAATCTACAGAGATAATCAAATTGGTTAGTAAACTGTGTCATGTATCATTTACTCAAATAATAACTCAACCAAATCTAACCCATATATATCGCCACCGCTGAGTAAATGGCAAGCATAAAACGAATTCAAAACGATTCATAAAAATGAATGTCCTAATAAATTGACTGATATGCAATTAGGCAAAATGTGATACTGAAAACGCTTGAATCTATTTAAAGCCTACCTTTTTTAGTTGTGTTCTGGTCGTATGCAACTACATGTAGTGTCGAATGTTTCTCTGTTTTTGTTGAAAATGTACTAAGTTTGAGATTACATAATTTAGATTGCATAAACAATTCTTCATTTAAATCTTTTTTAACAGCCACTTCTGTAATCGCCTTTTTACCATTTAAATCAGGATTTTTCTTGCTTACAACTTGCTGACCGTCAGTTAACATTGTATCCGACTGTTTGTTTATATTTGCTAGATTAGGAGAGTCTATGTTACCACTTGAGTTTTCATCCACTAATTTACTAGAGCTTCTATTCGTTGGAGACGTTAAAGGTTGTTCATCCAACTGGTAGTTAATTTGTTGATTATCATTGCTGACACTGTTGTCATCAACGATAGTACCGTCTTCATCAATATCAGATGAAAAGCATTCATCTAATTCAACTGAATCAGCACTACAGGAATAAGCAATATTTTCGTTTACTTTCTGGGTCACTGAATCATCTTTCAATGAGACAGATTCCTTAAAAATGTGATCATCTTCATCAGTACCATTTCCACTATCGATCTCCGATTGTTTTTCTGTTGTGTAAACTTGGAAGGTATCTTTAGAGTCGGATAATTGATCTTGTAAAGAACTCGGCCGTTCGTACTATGTAAAAAGAACAGTGACAACAAGCATAATTCTCATGATGCAAATATTATTTTAAAAGACAGTTAATAAAATAAAACTTTCAATATACGGAAAACTGAGAAGTTGGATCTTATTTCTTGAATTACAATTACTGTAGAAGACGTGTCACACTCAATGAGATTGAGACAGTCAAACTATGAGTATAACTAGACCTCAGATAACTGATGGCACCCACAGCATAATGAAAAAAGTTCTATATTTGTTGTAAATTTGTGGATTTTTAAATTTCTGAGCTCTTTGATGAAAATGACTTATAAGCACAAGAATGGTAAAGAAATTAGTCATAAGAACAAATATATAGGTTATAGTAGGGGAAGATTGAAATGGAATCAAAATTCAATTTTGAATCGATTCTATGTTGTAAGTTAAAAAGTCTACTATATGAGTTGAGTGTACTGAAAAGAAACATTTGAAATTCTAAACGAATTCAATAATGAGATTATAATACAAAGGAGTTAAAGTGAGAGAAGTCTTTTTAATTAAAAGGAGAATATGAAAAGTTAAGATGGAATGACTAATATCTAATGATTTCTATACGATATTGATCTCTAATTCTTATGAATTATTCAGAGGTTTTTGTCTCTATTTCAACAATTTACATTTTCTTGAATTTTATCATCGATACCTCATCTTTTCTATTATCAATAATACTGTTTCTATCTCTATTACACCCGGTTTTGGCTTATGAATTTCATCTCTCTGTGCTAATGGGGTATTGTAACTTGAACCGACGTACATACTTACCAGGTTCTACTTTGCGACTGACTGACTTTAAAACACTATTAGACAATTTGTTATAGTCTGAAAAATTATTTAGTCAACAAACGCATAATCCTTGATAATTAATACATTGGGAACGAAACGTACACAAGAAAGAAGTATTTTTTTGATCATGATAATCTGAGTAAATTGCTACTTAATGCTAAAACACTTTGGATTTTGTGATAAAACCGTTATCTTATGGTTTTAGACATTCAAGTTTCCACCGATAAACAATGATCTCAATTCTTTCATAAATAATTATTGCTCAAATTTGAGCTTCTGATAAGTGAGTTGAATATTCAGTAAAATGTTTAATTTTTAAAAACGTACTAGTAACTTTCAGTTTTAAAAATGCACTTACCGTTTCCATGACACCATTGTTAGGTTTAGAACTGTTTTGCGGTTCATTGGGGATATCATCACTTCATTAAAAAGAAATAGCAAGTAAAAGCTGTTAAAAAGTCATTACTGTAAGATATAACGATGTTAATGTGCATACAATCAAGCAGTTAAATTTTATGACATTAAGCTTCAGCTTAACATTTCATTTTCAACTTTTATTTTTTATCGAGGAGCCAAGGAAATAATAATAGAGGTAGGTAAAAGCGTACGTTATTAAATTACTTAGTACTCAGATTTAAAATATTAGAGAAACCGAATACATAATAATCAAACAATAAACAAGAAAAAGTTGTCATAATTTTGTTACCTTTATTGTATATCATTTACTACTCATCAAAATTATTTACGGAATGAAATAAGGAAATGAAATTGATATTTTCGGAATTTCCAAGAATCAGTTATGAGAAATTTGATCTCAAATACTTAAATTTCACAATAACGTAACCAGAAATCACACTGATATTATGTGAATCAGTTAGAAACAAATCAGAATTTCGGGATGTTGGGATTTCAATTGTATAATAAAACCTACTATATCGAGGCTTCATTGATGAAGGTTGCAGTTCTATTTAAATGGAAACTCAAAAATATGAAGTTTGTAGCATACCATATTTATAATACTAGTGACACGTAAAGTATTACAAATCTGCGATACCGATTTTCAAATTCTACAGAATAATTTGCAACATGAATTCTAATATCCATTCTAATGATCCATTTATTGAATTCCCAAAAAACTACTACTGTTTTTTTTGGATGACAATGAAGTAAAAATGACTTTAGATGTATGCGTTCACCCGCAGGAGAAACGCTTCTTTCAAAATACATAGTTTTCACAAATTTAATTAGGTAGATTTATTTTAAATATAACGTGAAACAAAAAAATAGCAGCATCCGAAAGCGCTTTGTGGCATCCATATTTTTACAATAAAAAACATCCAGTTAGATCCCAAAAATAAACATTAATTGGAAAGACGATCAAAATTTGTTAGTGATTTTATTGTTGTCATAGAATTGAAAAATATTTAAGGAATATAGCTTCGAATCACAACCATCTAATTTAGAATTAAACTAAACGATAAGAGGTCCTTGTTCGATATAGACTAAATTTATTGTTGAACTGTCAAGAATAATAGGATGAATTCGTGTTATGGATTGTTTATGTTGATTATGATTAACGACTTCAGCAAAAATAAAAATTAAGGCAGCTTATTTTGATTACAAAAAATAACAACTGGAAAGGCTGCAAACTCCGAGCTGAATGCAGGAAAACTTTAGAATAAGACCCACCACAATCATATAAACCACTTCTCATGATGCGATAGTACTGTAGAAAGAAGCTATTATTATTCGATAAATTCCTGAAACGAAAAACACTTTAATCAGACGGAGTAAATGATCAGTAATAATAGTGGGCTTGTAAGACCAAACTACTTTCAGATATGAAATTAACAAGTTTTCACATACCTGGTACTTTTGAATTCATGTTGTTCGTAAACAACACTATGAATTTTACCACTTCTGTTATCTTCTTCATGCAAACCATGATTTTTTAGTAAAACAACTGAATGAGAACGTGGCCGGATGACGGATATGGCATACTGAATGTTCCCATCACCCGCAATTTTTAACACGCCTGAATTCTTTCTGTTGTCAAAACTGGCAAAATCTTCCACTGACTGGCTAAATGCTTCATATGTTTTGAACTGTTTAGTGGTTTTATTAAAATTTTCGAAGGCTTGTTTGATATCCTTGTATGTTGTACTTGAGTTGGAATGGGGCTGATGTATTTTTACATGTTCCGGAAAACACACATTCGGACTTGTATAACCCGTTTTATAGATGCTCTGACACCTCTGTATGTTACTGATAAACTGTCTTGCTTGGTTTCTTTCTGAACAGGTGATTTTTTCCTTCGTTGTTGAGTCAGCACTAGAGTTTGTTGATAGCTCCGAATTTTTTTCATTATGTGTCGTTCTTTTCACTGAAGTTGAAGGAATTGGATAACGAATAAATTTGAGACTAGGAGCTACATGTGGTTTTCGTATGTTGTACGAGAGAGGACTTACAGTACATGGCTCAGTGGAGACCAATTCACTGGGGTTCATGTTGTAAGGCATTTTTTCGGAGCAAGGTTGAAGATCGTTTGGTGACTTTAGCTCACTATGTGGACTTTTAATATTCATAAGCTGAGCATTGTGTAATAAAGTATGTTCATCATTAGGGACTACTGAAGAACAATTTTTACAGTCTTCATTATTCAGTATACACTGAACACCATTACCAAGACTAGATTTCAGTATTATCGAGCCAACGTCAGAAGGAGCGCTTCTTATATTGAATCGTTCAAGAGAATCATCTTTATGAGTTGAGAATATGGGTTGAATCATTTTAGTATCCCGCCTTCCCAAGACATTCAGCTTGCAAGTCTTCGGTTTAGCGTGAGAAAGACTTTTCAATGTGGCTAAGGAAACGGGTCGAATAAAATTTGCAAGATAATGGTGTGAATTGTAAAAGACAGGTGACTTTCGGTATTGAGCTTCTAAAACTTCCCTATCAGAGTCGAACTGATACCTATCAGCGGTCTTGTTATAAATGAAAGGACTTCTAGGTCTTAAACGCTTTTTTACTGTGTCTGTGGCGTTGGATATATTTTCAGTGGTGCTCTCACTCCTCATTGTGCGAATTACAACAAGCAATTGAACTGACAATCGGACATAATATTGGAAACGTTGGGTGGTTTATTTGTGATGAAAACTTTCTCAACTGCTTCAGTAAATTTTGAGCCGAAACAATGTTAAAACTTTCAAGTAATCCATATCATTATACAAGTTGTTGTATCTCCAAGGTTTTGACTACATTTAAAAGTGAACCAATGAAAGGTTGAGTATCAATTTATAATTTGGAACAGTAAAACAAACTGTGAAATACAATTTTCACAAAATGCAAACGGTTTCTCGCATTCATTCTCTCATCTGGATAGTCAGGTGAGTTTCTGTTAGAATGTTTCATCGTATTTAAACTTAACATCGGACTTTTTATCAAACTCTGTTTTTCTCTTTATTGATGACTCGTCTAGGGAAACATATGGACAAAGATGTTTGAAAATATTTATGTCTGTAAGTAGAATACATTCGAAAATACTGCATGTTTACGTCCTTACTGGATGTTTCTTACAAGAAATTCAATCTAGAAATTCTGAATGCCTCAAAATGGTCGATGTTCTGTAATCATCACGTTATAGCTTACATAAAGTTAGCAAATTGATGCAACCAAACACATAATTAGCAAATCAGTTTTTTGTACGCATGCGGTTACTGAAATATGGAAATTATTTCTTCATAAATGGTGGAAATCACCCCAATGTCTTTAAAACTCATACACCACTTACGCTTTTTTGAAAACGTGTAACCTTTATTTGGCTGTTTTTTTACCGTTATGGCTAGTCATATGTTAAGAGTCGTTATTATTTTTTAGATTATTAACTATATTATAAGAGTACTCGGATCTTCGGATACTGTCTACCAGTTTTTCCTGAAGTGTAGGAAATAGAAAGTTCAAAGAAACAGTAACAACAGTAGCGATAGCGACTTTATTGTTTTTATACTTTTAAATAGCAGGCAACAGTACTTTCAGCATGACAACTTAAAGTCAGCAGTCAATCAATAACTGTAAGCAGGCATTATATGGACAGTTTATTTGAAATATTTTTTTCAATTTGAACACGTTCTGCGAGAGCAAAATCTATTTTGGACGAGGAGAAACTCCAAAAAAATTTTAAGGTTCATAAGAAGACAACTGAAGCTCTTCGGAAATTTTTTCATAGAGTTTTGTTGTCTGAGCTGGATGGTTTGGTCATGGAGCTGTCATCGTCTTTCTGAACGACATCATCAGCACAAAATTCAGATACACAGACTTATTTCTGAATTTTGTGCTGATGATGTTGTTCAGAAGAACGAAGAAAGCTCCATAATCTGTAGCGTGGCATCGAGTTGAGATTAACTATGAACACCGCTACCAAGAAACACGTGCCAGGTAAATCACAAGGCGGAGGTTGAACGTAACCAGATTTATTTCGTTGGCGATCTCGTGGTATTGAACGAATACCGAGATCGTGCTAAGGAATGGTACAAGTGGAAGCAGAAGACAGGAGTACGTACGAACAGTACCAAAAACCGCGGAACAATGATGGAAGGTAATGGAAGCACAAAATGGCTATAATTAGCACAGTTAAACAAAAGCACAATAAAACAAACACTGGTACAGCTGGTTATAATAATACTTGTTTTTATTAAACCAGTCGTGTTCTCGTGATAAACGTGAGTCACTACAGATCAAACCATCCAGCTCAGATAACAAAACTCCATCCAAATCATCTACCTGAGCAACAAATCGTCCCCGCTTTTCGTAAATGTCTAATGGTGGAGGTGCTTAAGTTTGTAGGGGAACTATTTTTTAGACTCAGAATCTTACTCGTTAAAGAAGCCTACCACATGTAACAATATCCGGTGAGAATATAACTTATGAACGATCTTTGAGTAACGCTAACGTGACACTGAGACTCTTCACCTAATAACTCGGACTGAATGAGGGTTATAAACCACTGTGGGGAATTAGAATTATGATTTACGGTTGATGATTAGAGTCAAGAATTACATTTAGGGTTTTCATCACCAGATGAAATCAGCTATAGTGCCAGAACTCTATTAAGCCAAATGAATGAGTGAGTTTCGAGCCAAAATCCGAGAACTTTTATCTTATACCTGATTGGTCCGTCCATAAACTTTCGTCTTGCTCAATATCCATATCTGTTCATAGAGCGGACTATGTGATAACAGAGTCGCCTATAAGGTGTTCGATTAATATGACACCGCTGTTCCCCACTTTTGTTCTCGATTGACTGGTCCTGAAAAACACCACGTTTCTTGTAGTCTAAACATTAGTTCTGTTCATTTATCCGTAAAGAGCTGAAATTTCGATGAACGTCCTACTGAATTAATCTGCATATACTTGATTTGTCACATTCTAATGTGATTTGATATCACTTTCAAGCTAAGGATTTGGTGAGCATTTTAATTTTCATGAGGTTTTTGAAGTCACATATAAAAATCCGTCAGTAAAGCAAGATCTATTTATTGAGTCATAATTGGACGTAACTTTTCTACCTAGTTACTCGGTAACCCCATTCTCTGTGATGAGATCATATTACACTGGTCGTAACAAGTCAAACTCAGTTCTAACACTGTATTAACTACTTATGCTATGAGTTTTTATGACCTTCGTTTGATGGTTGGTTGGGTTTCTGAAGTACTGAATGGTACGATCAGATGTTACAAATAAATCATTGCATGACTGCGATTGCGCGCTAAACGATAAAAAACAATTAACACCAGAGGATCGATACCCGAGAATCAATAAAAAATATTCTCAACAAGATGGGATCAAATATCTATCTGCAAGGATTCCAGCAATCCTCCCAAGCAGAAAGTCAAAAGGTTAACAGCCACACACTGAACCACGTCGTGACCCTGAGCTCAGTCAAAAACGACCTTAATGTCAATAGTTCGGCAACATGCAATAAGAATTAGGTAACAAAGAGTTAGCCTCCAATCAAAATCACATAATAAAACCTCAGACGAGGAAGAATGAAGAACGACAGGTATGGTTAAACGAAATGTGAACAAAGGTTAAAACACAAGACAGGTAGAAGAAACAAACAAACGACAGTACTGCCCAAAAAAAGCTGCATAGGGATTTTCATCGTTATCTTTACCTTACAGCTGAGGTCTCCTATATTTGGACGAAACACCTGTCCTATGCCTCCTGTTGATTAATAATAGTAAGTAGTATGTTGAAAAAGCAGAAAGGCAGGATAGTGCCCTAAATGATTCTGCGGGTAAATCATTTGCAAATGTTGTTCTGAAACATTAGACAATAAAGCTGACCCACTTATTTTACAACGTGCTTTTGAATTTATTTGCGTCAACAGCTGTATGTTATATTGTGCTACATGACTGAATAATCCATAAACATACGTTCTTTTATTGATCAAGCCTTTGCGCTGCAGTCTCCATGATTTCAAACTACACAAGAAAAGAAAGGTCTAGAAATATACTGAAGTTATTTGATCTGATATTGAGTATCCAATATCTTTGTCACGGGCTTGTATCAACCAACTGATATATTTGAGCGCGCTTCTTGTCGTTCCACTACGGTTCAAAGGATTTGATTATGCAAAATATGTGGTGGTCTAGCCACCCAGCTGCACTGATTCTGTTCAATGTGGTAGTTAATTGTGTACCTGTGTCTATCTTCTAGTTTAACAAGTGCGTTTGTCTCACGAAAACAGGACTTCTCAATACCAGCAGCTATCACGTTACCGGGCAGATGGTTGGTTGGTTGCAATGTGGAAATTATGTAGTGATATTTCGACTGCAATGAGATGATGGATCAAGAATAACTCATTAACTTACTTAATTGATAATGTGTAGAAAGACGTAATCGAAGGGGTGAACGAAAGCAGAAACGATAATAAGAGAGACAGAAAGTAATCACAGGTATTTTGTGACGATAACCGTGATAATTAATGAGACATGCATCAGATATGGGGTCCGAAGAGGGGGATGTTAATCCATGGGTGAGTACGTGGTTTCCAAGTCTACTCTTAAAGATATGGGCTTGAGGGGATGAATTCACTTCGGCTAAGTGAGCATTCCTAATGTGGCAACTCGAAAGGGAAGAGGTGAGAGAATATCTGGGTGTTCACGACAACCATATTTCAGTGAGAAATATGATCTTCAGGTCTAACTGAAAGTACGTGTATCTGATTCTTACTGATTTATCCACTAGAACTCCAGTGTTGATTTGGAAGCACTTGACCGTTTTTCCCATCACCTATTTCTCCTCCACACTAAAATCCGTCATTTAGTTCTCTGAAAGTCTGTTGTTTTATGTCTGTTGGCCCGTTCCATGTTAACCAGCTGCTATAAACTCATGCCTGTGTGGTGTGTTCCACTAACCAGACCGTGGTGTCTGTGCTCTGTATTGCGAGTTGTTGATCAGAGCCAACCAAAGTCAAAGTGTTTTTGATGAAATTTCCTGTATTTGGTTCATTGACCTAAGTCGACTTCCACATTTAATGTGACTGAAGAGGTCAGTTTTCGAGATGTACCGAGCCTGAAGCATGTCTGTTATGTTATCTTGGTTTCTGAAGTACACAGTAATCAGAAGTGCAAACTTCCTGATTATGAGGTGTTTAAGATGAACCAGCCTGTGCACACTAATCATTGTAGTTGTGTGAAGGCCGATGATGAGTGGTAGCTAGCACCACTGTTCCATGTCGTGTTCATTAATCTCATTCCGATTATCACTTACTAGTTCAGGTACTCCGTAAACCGCCATTCCGGTTAGTCATTAAATGTTTGCTGATCTCCTGTCGGCACTTCTTACAACCCACAGTTTGTCGTGTCTAACACAAATTTGAGAGGATCACATAACCGGTGGTCTCTGAGATGTTATTAAAGATTCCTTTGTCACATGTACTGAATCTAAAGTTACGCTCAATCGAAGGGATTTGCTTTTCTTTAGCTTTTGGTCCTTGTACAAGTAACACGACTTGGATGATTGATACTCATTCCAGTCATTGCACAGTATTTATCCAACTGTTCTTTATCAAATGCTATCCTACCTAATTTCTAACGAGATACTACCCAACTCTGTGACGTTAAGTGTAATCAGGTAATTTTGTTTAACGTCTTCGTCCCCGATTGTGGCGCTTGGGAAGATGTTTACGTCATTTCCCTTCCCAGTGCGCACCCACTGCTCCTCACTGTTAACAGATACTACGATATAAAAGGCAATCAGTTACTTCTTTAGTG